TCCTCGTGGAGAATCCCGGCTGGTAGGTTTCTCTGTTCCTGGCGATCTGCTGTTCTGCGAACGGTACCTGGTATCTGTGAGCGGCCCCCTGTGTCTCTGGGGCTCCGGCAGCCCCCGCCCCGCCGGCTGGCCGGCGGCTTGGCGCACTGCCGCGTGGCCAGTAAAGGTTGGGGGAGGGGTCTTCGTTCTTCTCTGTTCTGAAATTCTTCTTTTCCTCTCTTTTTTTTGTTATTTCCCACCTCTGGTTTTTCTGAGTGTTCGTCTTTTTGTTGTTGTCGGTCTCTTGGGGAGATTAAGCGTTGGAACTCGAACTCTCTTTTTGGTTGGAGAGAGCTGTGGCGTTTCCCTACTGCCCCGTCGCCATCTTGGTCCCCCCTCCAAGCTTTTCTTGAAGGTGATCTCAAGGATTTAATTTCTGGTCATGGGATGAAATAATATCCACTCCTGCCAATCCAGCCCATCTCCAGCCCATCTTCTCCACAGCCCTCTACTTTTTTTCCCTCTGTTATCTAGCATCAGCATATACTACAATAGACATCACCAAAGACCAGGTTCCCATCAATTTGAGGCCTTCATGGAGTAATGGCCATATGGAGTAATGGCCTCTTAACCATTTCAGCACTTAAAAGTCCTTCCCTCAACTCCTGACACAAGCTCCAAATGTGCATCAAGAAGAAAAAGGAGCTGTGATGTCACATTAGGAAGTTAAATCAATTGAGAAAGCTATAGCCATATATTTCAGGGAATGCATGCAGAAATGTGGTCCCCCCTTCAATCAGTTAAATGTAATGCTAAGTATTCAAAAATGTGTATTGCAAAATGTGTAACATTCAACACAAATATTTTTCTCTCATGTAGTAAAGTGGGTGCCCCCAATAAGCAGGGTTTTTTATCCATGTTGGAGACTGTATCCTTTCCATTATTGGGGTATCCCCCCATCCCTTATGACCTTCTTGCCTCCAGAAGAAAGAGAGCATGGACAAGGACTTCCCACTTCTTACAAGCCTTCAGGTAAGACGATGCACATCCCTCTGCTACCCTGTCGCTAGTGAGCACTAGCCATGGGACCACACCTTCATGGGTGGACTAGTCAGAAGTCTGTTTTTTACTGGGAAGTGATTATCTATTCTATAAAACACATATGCCAAATATATCATTTCATCAACTACCCACATATCAATCGCAGGTCTCATCATTCTCTATTCCATCCTCATTACTTGCTAATAGCAAATCATTGAATTTTCAAAATCTACATCTCAATTTCTTTTCTATCCAAACTGCCACTGAACAATTTCAAGTCCTACCTTCAGGTTTTCTGATTATCAGATATCTCCTCATTGCTGCTCAAGTTGACAGTTTAATACTCTACTGTCATCATACTCTTCTGCTAGAATTTTCTGTGCATGTGTGGTGTGTGTGTGCGTGCGTGCACATGTGCGCATACATATATATGTCAGTACTAGGGCTTGAACTCAAGGCCTGGGTGCACTGTACCTTAGCTTTAAACTCAAGGCTGGTGCTCTTCTACTTGAGCCACAGCTCCACTTCTGGCTTTTTGTTGGTTACCTGGAGGTAAGAGTCTCATGAACTTTCCTGCCACCGCTGACTTCCATCTTAGTTTCCTGAGTAGTAGGATTACAGGCATGAGCCACAGGCACCCTTTGTTAGAATTTATTTAGTACATCTGTTTGGTGATAGGAAATTAAACTGCTAAATATCATACAAGTTATTTATTATCTAGTTCTTTATAGTTCCCAAAATTCTTTCTTGCTACTGATTTTAAGTATATCTGTAACAATACTTAGAATGACTGCATTTCCTTCATCTTCATCTTCCTCTCTTCATCTTCCTCTCTTCATCTTACCCCTCCCTCTCCTTGACAACTTTCAAGTACGAGCTTCCTGGTATTCATTTTGTTCAACTGTGAATTCATTTTTCTAAGGAATTACACTACAAGTAGTTTCTAAAACAAAGTACAGTCTTTTCACATCTTACTGTTTATGCTGCTCCTTCTCAGACATTTTATCCATTCAGTAAACTTGGTGCTACCATATTCAGAAGCCATCTCCTCTACCATGTTTCCATCTTAACTATAAAACTTGGAATTTTTTAAAACTTCACTCCCCATTCAATGTACACAATTCTATTGCAGTAACTTATCTAAATGCATTGTATTTTCTCTGTTTTTCTCGAGCTATGAAACAGAAGCATCCTAAAGACAGGCTCCATGCCCTATCCTCTCTTTTTCTTGTGGAGTATAGTATATAAAAGAATATTATCTTCAAGGAAAAAAAACTATTTTTTCATCATTTTATTCTTTTTTTTTAGAATTTTCTGTGGGGATTCTTTATTATAGTAACACATATTAACTGTAAAAAAAAAAAAGCAAGATTGACTGATATTTCCAGACAATATTTATTGATCAGATATTGGACAATTATTTTATTTTTTTAAATTTTATTTTAAAACCTCCCATGCTCCTGGATTGGAAAGATTAACATCATGAAAATGGCAATACTTCCCAAGGCTATCTACAAATTCAATGCGATACCTATCAAAATTCCAACCTCATTCTTCAAGGAAATAGAAGAGGCAATCCAAAAATTCATATGGAACAATAAAAGACCCCGAAT